CCCACCTCTGGATCCCATTGCTCTACTACTGAACTATCACCCTTCCCTTCATCACAGAAAGAGTGGTGAGCATTCTGTGAGAGTAACAATGAAATCTATGGTGACAGACTTTTGCAATGGAGACGGAGACAAAGATTTAGCCAAGATTTGGAGCTTGTAATTGTTTTACTTATGTTTAATTATAATTCTGTTTTTTATCTTTATTTTTATTATTGCTAGCTGCCTAGAGCATTTTTGGGAGGAAAACCTGGATGTACTTCTAACAAGTACAAATATATCTTTTTCTGGTTTCCTTCAAATATGCAATAGCACTTGGGCTCAGCTTGCCCCTCCCTAGGATTTATTCTGTAGATAATACAGAAGAGACTCAAGGATTCTCAAAACAGAATTCTTTATTTCTGCAATTCATGACAAAGCATGACAATGAATAAGCCTATAGCCTCAGAATGAAGACCTAAGCTGAGAAAGGGAACAGCTTCAACCAGGAGAAAGTAACAAGTAAAACTTGGAGCTGGTGTGGGTCTTCCGGGCTGTGTGGCCGTGTTCTTGAAGTTTTGTTTCCTAACGTTTCGCCAGCACCTGTGACCGGCATCTTCAGAGTGCAGTAGCACAGACAGGAGCAGTTCTCTCTGTGCCCAGCTCCTGTCTATGCTGCTGCACTCTGAAGATGCCGGTCACAGGTGCTGGCGAAACGTTAGGAAACAAAACTTCAAGAACACGGCTAGGAAACAAAACTTCAAGAACACGGCTAGGAAACAAAACTTCAAGAACACGGCCACACAGCCCGGAAGACCCACACCAACCATCGTATGCTGGCCGTGAAAGCCTTCGACAATACACAAAACTTGGAGCCTTGCTTAAGTGCTGAACAATGCTGTACAGCTTTGTACAATGGCAGTATCGTAGCCAATGAGGTTAATCCAAGGCATGATTATTGCTAATGGAAAACTTCCTTTTTAGCTTTGTCTTTTATAGCTTTTTAATGTTTTTTATAATAATAATATTTGTTTTACTATTTATTAATTTAACTGTTTTTTAGCTTTGTTTTATGCCACCCAGAGTCACTTGTTTGTGAGATGGGTGTTTATATAAATTTGACAAATAAATAAATACCATAACACACCTTTCTGGTAATTAACATATTGGACAATCAACTTCAAACCCACCCCCTATTATACTTTTCTAAATTAAATTTTGCAAATCAGGAGACTGGATAACAAAACTGAACTACTCAGCAGATGTCATACAAAACTCTACCTTCAGCCCAAATGGAAATAAAATTGAGGGCTCTTTTTGTAAGGCTGCCATAATCCAGTTTCTCACCGCTATACCATGTCTATGATGATGACAGATTTCTGTTAATATATGCTTTTTAAAAAAAGAGAAACTCAGAAAAATTACTAAGTTTAAAAAGAACTGAGTTAGAAATACTACTAACTCTTGTCTTTTTTGCTACACTTTGGGTTTGACTAGCTCACCACAATCATGGCTACACCAAAAGTCTAGCTTTCTGAGTGATTTTTAATGGAATAGTAAACTTTTTCATTAAGACAGTTAAACAAATATTTATAGTAACTTTTTTTTCCTAAGCAGTGTGCATGTCACCATCACTTAGATTATTAAGATAAAAATATTGAAAAGGAAGATTAGGCTTTGCTTGCTAAACAAAAGAGGAAAAAAGGTAACTACACATTTTGCCTCGTATATCAGTGTCAAAAGGATTGGAGACTTAAAAAAAATAAAGTTGGAATCTGAGGATTATCACTGAAATGCACAGGGGGGAGGTCCGGGACGGGGGCAAGTGTAAATCACCATGGGATATAATTCGGGCTTTTAAAGGACTGTAGTGTGTTGTGGTCACTGTACTGTAGTGTTGGACACTTTTTGTTTTCCTTTTCTTAATTGCCAGTAGGCTGAATACAAGTGGTCCTTGGTTAATCACTCATTCAGCGACAGTTTGAATTGGAACAGTGCTGAACAAGTGGTATTTACAACCAGTCCTGGAAGTTTTGGCCATCATAGTGTCCCCACAGTCATGGGATAGCAATCTGGGTCTCAGCAACTAGTTCAAATTTCTGCCAACGCAGCATCTTGCAGTCACATGATTGCAATTTGTGACCTTTCCTACCACCTTCCCACAAGCAAAGTCAATGGGCAAGCTGGCAGGAAGTCAGAAGTCATTGTTATGTGAGGTCCTCACTTAACACCCACACAGTCCTCACTTAATGATGATAACAGGGACTGCCTGACCTGGCGGTTAAGCAACACAGTCATGTGACATTGTGCTTTATGATCGCATCCCTTAGCATTGGAGATTCTGGTCCCAATTACTGTTGTTAAGTGAGGACTACTTGTAAACTATTCTGGCCTTATCAAGACTCTCAACCCTTTGAGGTAGTCCAGACCAGGAAACCAAAATCATGAATTATTTTTATTGTAAGGTTACAGCAACAGAAGCTTGCAAATCTGAAAGTGCTTCCCTCTCCCCTACCTTTATGTTCCCTGCCTAGGGAGGGTCAAATCTGAGATGCTTTCTCAAAATACATTTCTGGTTTGGGCTTAGATTTCGCTTATCAGACCATTGTCTAGGCTATGGCTCTTCCTCTTGTCTCTCAAGGTTACTCTCACAGGTCATTTTACAAGACAGAGAAAGAGACTGAAACAGAGAGAGAGACAGCAGAAATAAGACATTTTATTTCTAATGACAATTAAAATTTTAGGAAGTGTTATAATGCCTGTCTAGTAAAAAAAGTCACAGAAGTCTTGTCTATCTTTCTGTTATGCAGTGTTGACAGAGTATCACCATAAATAAAATTCTAACATTCTGCTCTGTTAAGAGACAGAATCCTAGATCAAAAGAAGTATGGAAAGTGATTACTCTGATTTCAGTATCCTTTCCCACACACTTTTAGGAGAAAGGAGATAAGCGACAATGCAGTACTCAAGGGGAGTGTGGGAAGTAAAAGAGGTTCAGGACAGCCTAGAATCTCCCAGGGTATATTCACTAGTTGCTGCAGTATAGATTTAGTTTGGCAAGATTCTGTCTATAAGGTATAAGCAAATAAAGGAGCTTGACTCAAGTGGACTTTTCACCGTTGTTCTTGGGCTGGGCCTGAGGGCAACAGAAATGGCAATGAGACATCCTAAAACACCAAATTTCATCATCTCTATAAATAGCAGTACATCGGAAAATACAGCACATAAAATATTAATGATATGCAATACATTCATGTCTTAAACTGCAACTATATTGATATAATTTTGGTAATGAAATGGGATCTGCTGGTGGAATAGATTCTATCCCTATCTCTCCTGCTCCTAATTTCATCTGGAAGGTAATAAGAAACTTCACAATAGTTTCAAGACATAGCGAGGCAGTAGACAGGGAAAGAGAATAAATGAAAAATCATAGAACACAACCTGATTTGTATTCTGATTTTGTATTGATCAAAGCATTAGTTCCAGACAGTAGCACTTATATTTCAAAATCAATATGCTTAGGATAGCAGTTTCATATTTAAAACAAAAGTAAGTTAAATTTTATGATGTTTTCATTGACAACAGAGTGAGAAAAGTAAGAATCTGAACAGTAAAATTCTAGTATCAGGGAATAAAACTAGATTTAATACTGCACTGAAAAAGATCTGGCCCTATCCCAAAGTATTTCTGTCAAGAAGCATTTCCTCATACAGCAGTCCAACAGCTCATTTCCAGACTGTTGATGTGATAAGAACGTGCATTATGGTTTAAAATAACCTTGTAATACCACTATGAATGCAGAAATAGCTCTAGCAAGGATAAGACAGTAAAGCATTGGATAAATATGTTAGTTGGCATTAATTTCTATAGATTTGATGTTTGTATCAGTATAGACCTACACATTTTTAGGTATGCATGTGATAATTAAAAGATATGCACTATCACTGACAATGTCATGAGACAATTTTCTGCATTTAAGCATCTTCTGTAATAATGGCATTTGGATTTGAAACAACTATATTTGGAGGAGCAATATGGCATTATGTAAAATGTGTACTTCAGAGCATGACAATTTGTGCTTGTACACAAATTGTATTTGTATTTCTCAAACTTTCTGCAATCACAAACCACTAGATAGTAGTTAAAATTACTAGTTATATTTGGAAATTGCACAGACCACCCAATTAAATCAACATGTCCTACCTACATTTTCATCTTTAAGATGGGAACTTTTTTTTTGCAAATGAGAATATGGTTATATTTATACATAGTTCCCATCTTCTTCATTGTTAAAGGGCTTTGAAAAGGAAGGAGAGGCTAAGAAAATGAGCAAACTTTCATCAGCTGATTGTTGGTACATGCAGGAAGGTAAGGCTGAGGCAGCAAGCTGGCTCTAGCTCATGAGTGGGGAGAGACTGCAAAGCATGGTTCACTGATCTGTGAACAATGCTTTGAGAATCACTGACTTGAGGTCCACTGGCATAATTTTAAAGGAAATATTTATCTTCTATTCCACATTAGCAAAATACTAATTCACTAGTCAGTGTCTTCAACGAAATATTTCCAAATGCAGATGATAAAGCTTGGTTTCCAATTATTAAATTACAACTCTGGTCAACTGTCCAATTGTCAAATATTATCAACTGTTCCAAGAATATAAATGATAATACAACTTGAATTCAACAGTGTATCATTTGTTAGCAGGGTAGGGATAAGGATTTGTTACCATAATATTGATGCTTTAATTACTGTCAATGCTTAAATAATCCTTTACTATTTTTTACAATTTCTAAATGGTCAATTCATTGAATTTATTGATATTTACATGTATTACAAATAATCTTGTGAATCACTTTAAATCTTTAAATCAATAAATATTAAATTATTATAATTATAATAAGCTCAAAAATTCAACATGTGGATTTAATATATTTTTAAGAACTATCACTGAATTATTCTGTAAAATAATAAGTAAAATGCCTCATGCTCCGTCTTTGAACAAAGTATTCACTGGTTAATACCTTTAGTAGAGTATTTCTCTTCTAAATCATGAAGATCAGGCAAAACATGGATGCAATTGATGCAGCAGTAGGTGAAGAAATCTAACACCACTACTTTTCCACAAAGATGTTTGTACAAAGAAAGTGGACCCTCAGTGTTCAGCCACTGTAAATCTGAAATCAAAGCTCTAATTAGTATATTATTTTGAAGAAGTTAAAAGAACAAACTAGCTTATTCAGAAATATCAGTTGATGACCGTTTTAAAAAACTGTTCATGGACTCCTAATAATAATATTCTTAATATTCAAAATCTGTAATTCTTCATATCTCTCAAACAGCCAACTTAATTTAAAAATATACTCCATTTTTTTCATTCTGCCCATTTATTTGACAACAAAGGATAAAACTATTCAATTTAATGTTAAACTCATGTAATTATTTGAAGACGAACAAGCACTCATTTACAAGGTTCGTAATTATAAAGTTTGTAATTATAAAGCATAACACAGATGACATATCTTACAACAATACCAATGTTTTGTTTTCCTATCTGCTTCATGAAACATTATTCAATATAATGAGCTTAGGTACAACTAGAACTATCATTAGCACCTTTGTTGAAACAACAAAAGAAATCTCAAGCATTTTAAAAAACAACTTGTTGAAATACAATAAGGTCTGTAAATGATCAGTACAAAAGAAATTCACTGAAGTGGTTTGGTAGTTAAGGGAAAAAGTATGAGGAGTGAATCACAAAACAATATATGAAATAAGAGTGAGTGGTTGAGAGGAAGGGGAGACTAAAAAAGTGGTGGTTGGATGGAGTTGATATATTATTCAGAGAGAGATGATTGAAAAATTTACAGCACAGGCAATGTATAAAGCAATTAAATAGAAGTAAGGATTGTCTGTGAGTAGAGAACTTTATGTAACTTCTTACTCTTCTTTGCACTTTGCATAATATTGTATTCCTCCAAAGTGAACAGCATGATTTATTAGTAGATGTCAGCCTTGCGAGGTAGTCCAGGGAAGAAGCATACCTAGAAGAACTAGCTCTACTTTATTGTAAGGCTACATTAATAGAATCTTCTTGCAAGTCTGAAAGTACATTTCTCCTCCCTTGCCTTTACAGCTCAAGAAACTAGGGACGTTCTGAGATGTTTGCCATACCCACATTCCTTCCTCTCATCTGACCACTGCCCTGGCTGTGGCTCTTCCCCCTGTCTCCAAGGTCATTCCCACATACCATTACATCAAAAATGTTAATAAAAACATATTACTTATATTTTAGCATATTAAATATAATTATATATATAAATACACAAATATGGCAGATAATCAATGACATATGCTGAAAAAATTAAATATGCTCAAATTTCAGTGATTTCAACATGATATAAAATTTCATATTTTTCTACTTAATTCATTAAATACCAAATTAAAGCAAGAAAATACCAGAGCAATTCATATGTTTATAATCATACAATTTAAAAGAATTTGTTGTTCATTATAAAAACTGGCAACATACAATATTGTTTTATCTTCAAGGTTCTCAAAGTGATGCTGGTGATGTGGAACATTTACTTTCAGTATCAAAAAGTTAAAGTCAGAAAACTCAGAGCAATCTGAATGGAAGTTAAAACTGGCATGGATAGTGAGGGACAAACACTACTTTGCCTACTAAACATACTAGACTCTATAGCTTTCATATTCAGATGGAAACAGGAAAGACTCCTGTTTCAAATACAGATAGTTTTCACTTACCAACCATGAGTTCAGCAGCTGTTTGAAGTTACAATGGTGCTGAAAAAATAACTTTATGGCCCATTTAAGACCATTTACGAACTTCACAGCATCCCTCAGTCACGTGATCACCATTACAGTAAATACATGTTGTCCTGTGCCTGATCCATGTTTTTTTCTTTTTCCCCCTTGCAGAGCAGAGAAATTGGAGAGAAAGGGATTGTAAGAGAGTAAGCTGTTTGCTCTTCTACACATTGAAAGCAACGCGATCAAACCAGCAGCCTGGGGCTGGGAGCCACAAGCATGCAATGCAAACAGCTTACAATACTCTCTTGAAAACTCTTCCTCTCCAATCTCTCTGCTCTGTGAGGGGGGGTGAGGGGAAAAAAAGCAAGTGATTTCTGTAGGCAATCTCTCCTTTGCTTGACCCTTTCCCACTCCTGGTGCAATCACATTGCTCTCAATGTGTAGAAGAGTAAATGGCTTACTCTCTTAAAACCTCTTTCTCTCCAATCTCTCTGCTCTGGTGGGAGATAGAAAAAGCAATGCGATTGTGCTGGCAGCAGGAAAGGGTCAGGTAAAGGAGAGATTTCCTACAGAAATCGCTTGCTCCCCCCCCCCCCCCC